ATTACTTCTTACAACTATATGTGAACCTACAATTCTCTCTGCACGTCTCTCTGCTAGAACTTGCTGTGCACATAAGGACAGCGGTGACTCCAAAGATGCCACTCACCCATTTTCAGTGGCATCTGTGGGTCCAGCCACCGGCCTGGCACCACTCAAGGCATCATGGGGGCTACAGGGGAGTTCCTGCTTTGGGATGCTACTAGTATTCTCTAGTTTTAAAGATTCCATTCCAATAAAAGTCTATTTAAAAAGACACACACAACAAGTCTATTTCACAGACTGTATACAGTTGGCTCAGAGAATGCTGATGCTGTTAGTATTTAAGTAAGCTGAGTCCAAATTCTCTAAAGAGAAATAGCCTTTTAAGGCACCTGCTATGTGTCTGGCATTGTGCTCAGACTTGTCTAAATATTTTCTTGTTTCTCTTCACCACAACTCTGCAGGCAAATTCTAGCCCTGTCCCCTCTTTACAGCTGTGTAAACTGAGGCAGAGCTACTTGTCCAAGTTCACACTGTCAAGTATAGACAGAGCAGGGTGCCCAGTCCAAGCTGGTGTGACTGTAGCAACTCAGACACCCTGACTGGTTGTCCTGGAAAAGGGGTGATTGGTTTCCAGGGGGCCCCTGCAGCTCCCTCCTCCAGCCACTGATGAAATCCACTTTACCAATGTGTCTACATAACAGATCACAGATGCATGAGATCCCACAGGCGCAGAGAGTGAGGGGCCACCAGCAGGTCTAGGGGCTGCCCCAGGAGATTCATCTCCCCAGGGCCAAAGCACTGATCTTAAGCTGTCAGAACAGAAAGGGGAAGACCAGGGTCGAGGCTTCTGACTTTTAAAATGTTGCCCAGGAGGGCAGGGCAGAAGTAGTGGGACATCAGAGCTCCTGAAATTGGCCAGGTCAACTGAGAGAGGATTAATATGTGTATTCACTAAGAAGCAAGTGACGAGCCCTGACAGGGACAGATGGCCACCAGGGCTCTGCAGCCATCAACACACCAGGGACTACAATGTGATGTGAACCTAGCTCCACGTCAGAGCTCCCAAAATATCGCAGGCTGCTGCCAAATGCAAACCTGGGGCCCACAGGACTGTCTGACCCTGGGAAAGCAAAACCGACTTCCAGCTGCTTGCTTCAGCCTGGAGCTGTTAAGCAGCAGAATTCTCTCTTAAGAAGTTTCAACTGAGTCACGGCTTTCCATTTCCCCCAGACTTGTCAACAATATCTTAAGAAGGAGTAGACACTGGTCAGCTTCAGAGGAAAAACTTCCAAGGAAACACAGTTGACTCTCGCTGATCTAGGGACATGAAAGTGTGTTGAAGGGGCAGCAGTGACCTGGGACCGTCTCCCCTGCGCAAGTAGTAATTAGACTAACACTACACTGCGTTAGTCGTCAGAGTGCAGCAGCTGCAGACTCCTACGCTGGTGATCAGAAAACAAAACAACTCGATATCCATTTAACGAGGTCTGCTTTAAAAGCAAAACAAAAGGACACAAGACCAGCAAGTAGACGAGGAACCACAGGCAATAAAAAGCCTAACTCAGAAGGCAGAGGTTTAATTTAAGTTATTCTACAGGCAGTGAGGAAGGGCTGCCCTTTTCATCTGGGCCACGTCCAAGGGACGTAGCTGGGGAATCAGACAGCTGCAGCCGAGGAAGGCAGCCCCACTGGGATCACATGAGTGGGGAAGAGAAGGCACAGGAAATTTCAGTGTTCCGGGAGTGCTGTGAGCTTGAAAGTCTCCAGGCCCAGCCAGAGAGGAGACGAAACCACGATGAAACCTCATGGACCTTGACCGTCAAGGCATAAGCCAGCCAAGATCTGCTATGCACAGAAACCGGATATGGCTCTTCATAGAGACATCCAGGTGACCTAAAAGATCCCTCAACCCAAATGGGCCCCTCCCACACCACCCCTGACATCCCCCATGTGCTGTGTGGTAACACTTCGCAGGCTCACAGAATGCTGACACCTGCTGGGAGGCATGCCACACTAAGCTGCTGTTTTCCCTCAGCGCCAGGGACTGACTTCTCAGACTGGCTAGTTTAACAAATGAAGGAGACCCCAGTCGGGTACATTTCGATGGGTCGGGGGAACTGCCCACTGGGTCCCTGCCACAAAATGCCACCTCCCTGTCAAAGCTTCCTTGTCTCACTTGCAGGATAAAGTCCAGTTGTCAGAGTCCAACTCATTCGACTACTTACTTGACAAATATTTGTTGAGTACTTACCGTGGGGTGGGTGGGCCCTGCCAGTGCTAAGGGCACAGCAGTGAACAGGGCCCTGCTCCCTGTGCTGGCATTCAAGTCCAGGGTTCAAGGCCCCCCATCACACCCCCTGTAATACTCTGCCACCATGAACCCAGCCAGAGCACTGGCCTTCCAGCCCCCCAGGGTCCCTGCAAGCCCACTGTCCTCCCTATCAGGGACTCACAGGCCTCCACTGCCCCCACCCTGCCCCAACCTCCATTCAAGGCACCGGCCTGACTCCACCACAAAGCTGTGCCCAGCCACCCCAGGGA